AAAATAACTGCAGGGTCATTTAGAGTTCACCTAGACTTATATGCTTAGAGTGCTTTCAGAAACTAGTATACGCTGTCTGGGGTGATCATGACTGGAGCCATGTCTTCTGCTGTGGCCGTAGGGGTCCTGTGCAGCTGCAGGACTGTCCTCAGAGTAAACTCTCCAAAATAGCTATGCTGCCAAAAGGGTAGTTTGACCAGTTGCCAGTAAAGGGGCCACTTTGCTGAGCATCTCCATTGAAGGTTTCCAAGTCTAAGTGAAGAGTGTGTCAAGCAGCCTGCTCTTGACAGTTTCAATCATTCACAAAAAGCCTTACAAATATCTTTACAATAGACTTGATGAAAGCTCAAGGCAGGACTAACAATTCTAGCAGCATTTAAAAATTACCTAATAGCCTCTGGGGCTCTTTCCTCAGCTGACTATCCCACTTTCATGCTTGGGAGTGCGTTTTCCTTTCTTAATAAGCTATTTCTATTCCATGCCCAACTTAAAAGGCATGGCCTTTTCTCCATCTCTCCTCCTGGGAGCTTTGGGAATTTTTACCTAACCTGTGCTATGTTTTTCTCTTAAACTGTTACAGAATTGCCCTGAAGAATTTTTTTTAATGTTACTTGATAGTATTTAACAATGCTCAACAGTGATTAAATACCCCAGTCCCCAAGGAAGAAGGAGATCCCTCTGATCTGTCTCAGTGGCAGAGTTTTACAATAAAAGTGATTTTTGAGTTTTGGAAATGCTGATTTTGAGGTATCTATGTGACTATCAATGGGGTGTGACATAGACAACCAGATATACAATTGAAACTCAGGAAAGAAGACCAGACTAGAAGTACAAATACAGAATTTATTAGCAAATAAGTGGTAATGATAAGCAATAAGATTGCTCAGAAAAAGCTATAAAATGAAAAGGACAGATGCTAGGGGATGACCACAGGGAAAGAGCTATGTTTAATAGGCAAGAACAGGAACAGAAGTCTATATAGGAAAATTCAAAAAGACCCAGAGCCAAGCATGATGGCACATACCATTAATCCCAAGCACTTCTGAGGCAAAGGCAGATGGATTTCTCTGTTTGAGGCCAGCCTGGTCTACATTGGGAGTTCTAGACCAGTCAGGGCTACATAGTGACACCTGTGTCAAAAAAAAAAAAAAGCTTCTTCCTTGGTACTGGATTCTGGGGCCATGGTTGGGGGCCATGGGGCTCATGGGGGCAAAGCTGAAGACAAGGAGTGAATCCCAGTCACCAAGCTGGGCCGCCCAGCCCAGGACATGATTAAGTCACTGGAGAAGATCTACCTATTCTCCCTGCCCATTAAGGAATCTGTGATTATTGGCTTTTTCCTGGGAGCATCCCTTACAGTGAGGTTTTAAAGATCATGCCAGTGCAGAAGCAGACTCACTCCAGCTGGCCAGCAACCAGGTTCAAGGCTTTTGTCACCACTGGGGACTACAACGGTTATGTTGGTCTGGATGTTAAGTGCTCCAAGGAGGTAGCCACTGCCATTCAAGGGGCCATCACCTTGGCCAAGCTTTTCATTGTCCTTCTGTTCAGGGCTACTGGGGAAGCAAGTTTGGAAAGTCCCACACTATCCCATGCAAGCTGACAGGCCACTGTGGCTCTGTAACTGTGGGCTTCATCCCTGTCCCCAGAGGCACTGGCATTGTCTCTGTTTCTGTGCCTAAGAAGCTGCTGCTGATGTCGGGTACTGAGGACCGCCGCACATCAGTCAGGGGCTGCACTGCTACCCTGGGCAACTTGGCCAAAGCTGCCTTTGATGCCATCTCCAAGACCTACAGCTACCTGACCCCTGACTTCTGGAAAGAGACAGTCTGCGTGACGCTTCCCTATCAGAAATTCACCCACCATCTTGTGAAAACCCACACCAGATTCTCCATGCAGAGAACCCAGGTGCCAGCTGTGGCTACTACCTAGGGCTTTAATATATATAAAAAAATTTTTGTGTGTGTGTGTATGAGTGTAATGACTGCATGTATGTAAGTGCACCCATGTTATGCAATGCCCTCAGAGATCAGAAGAGGGCATCAGATCCCCCTGGAAATGGATACAAATGGTTGTTAGCCACCATGTGGGTGCTGGGAATCGAACACAGGTCCTCTGCAAGAGTAGCCATTGCTCTTGATGGCTAAGCCACCTCTCCAGCCCTACATAGGGCTTTTATATAAGAGAAAGTAAAGTGAATTAATTCTGTTTAAAAAAAACTAGAAAGATAGGAAGAAAGCAAGAAGCACTGATGGTTCACAATTCACAGAAGAAAATAATTTCTCTTTGTTTTGCTTTATTTTTATTTTATGTGATGTGTATTATGTGCATGCATGCAAGAGCACCCATGTTGTGCAACATCCAAGGAGGACAAAAGAGGGCATCAGAATCCCTGGAACTGGAATTAGGAATGGATTACCCTCCATGTGGGTGCTGGGATTTGAACCTGGGTCTTCTGCAAGAGCAGCCAGTGCTCTTAACCGCTGAGAAGGGGAAAATAATTTCTAAGGAATACAGAATAGAACCTGTGAACATCTGTAATCGGTCCCTAGTGACTATACTGAGAGCAGTTTCAGAAGAGGTAGCCTTTCTGCAAAGGACTGAGGAATCCCTAATTCAGAAAGAATGCTTGTAAAGGCGATGATGGTGAGGGGGAGTGACTGGAAGTTGAGTTCCTTCATAGAAAGCAGTGGAATCTACTAAGAGGGACGAGTGTAGGGGTAGGCTTGTAATAGTTGTATTGAGAAAGTCCTTGACCATGACTTCCTATCAAATTTCTGGTCAGTATTCTTTCTTTCATGCTAAACGGTGAAAATCCTTTTGTTTTTTATTCTCTCCCTTCATGCCTTAAGACAATTTTCATTCCATTGTCATTTAGCATTTGTATATATGTAAAGACAATAAAACCACCAATGATTTTTGTGTTTCATCAGTTTACATTTGGTCACCTAATCTTATTTGTTTGAAAGAATAAATAGGCCTAATATTCTTTTTTTTTTTTTTCCTGTTCATGGAGACAGTGGTCATGGACATCAAATCCAGGGCCTCATGCATGCTACTAAGCAAATTTTCACCCTTACATCTGGTATTCTCGACAACATACTCTGTAATTTTATCTAAGTTACAAGATGTTGACTCCAAGTGAAATGGGACCATAAGCCCTATTTCCTTCCAACCACGGTGGAATGTTGGAGAGCTGAAGTGAGATTGTAGGAGACAAAACCCATCTCGGAACAAAGAAACATCTAACATAGGTAGCTATGCCATCTTCCCAATAGAACTGCTGTTGAGATCGAATGAGATAATGCATGTTGTTATTTATTTATTCCTTTTTTGATCCTAGGAATCGAACACAGGGCTTTGGGACTGCTAGGCAAGTGTTCTATCATTGAACCACATCCCCAGCCCACGGTTTTGTGGACACAGGTCACATTGTGTGCTCAGGATGGCCTTGAACTCACTATATAGTCCAAGCTGATCTCTAACCCACAATCCTGCCTCTGACTCCCTGATGGTGGAATTACAGGTATTCTATACATCACCCACTGTATATGAAATCCTTAAATATTTATAATATAAGAGTAACTGATAATAATTGTATTTCAGTTTGAAAATTAGCAAATGAAGCTGGACCTGGAGGTGTAGGTGGTCTCTGTTCCTTAGTGGAGAGGGAGGATTGCAGGTTGAAATCCTGCCTAGGTTACTGAGCTTGAGGCCATCTTGGGCAACTTAGTGAGACCCTGTTTCAAAATTAAAAGTTAGAAAAGGGCTCTTGAGGAGCTGGAGTGATGGCTCAGTGGTTAAGAGCATTGGCTGCTCTTGCAGAGGACCTGGGTTCGATTCCCAGCACCCACATAGCAGCTAACAACCATCTGTAACTCCAGTTCCAGGGGATCCAAAGCCCTCTCCTAACCCCTCAAGGCACTGCATACATGTGGTGCATTTACATACATGCAGGCAATATACACCTACACATAAAATAAAAAGAACAAATATTATTTATAAAAAGGGCTATTGATATAGATCAATGGTAGAGTACTTGTTTAACATGAGCCAGGCCCAAGGTTCAACCCCTAATCCTGTAAACCAAACTAATTAATCAACTGTAAAGACAAACTACCAAACTAAAATTCCATGGGTGACATGCAATCTATTTTGGTTGCTTAGGCAGGAAAACACTTGGTGATCATGAAATTATGTCTGGAATTTTCTTCAGAATAATCTGTTGGGGGGTGAGGTAGGAAATGGGTCACATTCTTGAAGTTAGGCAGAGATTCAAATTTTTTATACAGATGAAAATTTCAGAATAAAATGTGACTATGTTGCCAGGTGTGGTGGCACACACCTTTAATCCCAGCACTCCAGAGGCAAAGGCAGGTGGATCTTTGTGAGTTCAAGGCCAGCCTGGTCTACATAGTGAGTTCCAGGCCAGCTGGGGCTATAGGAAGACTCTGTCTCAAAAAAGATCTCCCCTGCAAAAAAAGGCCATGTTGATACAATATACTTAGTCATTGAAATTCCATGAAACTTAGACACACCTCACTCACTCCACTCCCCAAGGGAGAGATGGCTCAAAAGTTAAGAGCACTGGCTGCTCTTGCAGAGGGCCTGGGTTTGGTTCCTAGCACCCACATGAGGGCTAACAAATGTTAACTCCAGTTTCGGGGATCCAATGTCCTTTTCTGACATCCACAGGCATTGCACAACACAGGTGCACTTACGTACATGCACATACATATAAAATAAAAATAATAAATAATAAACGTCAAGATTATTTTTGAGTCTTATATAATAAGTGGATGTTATTTTAGTAAGTAGTCTTGGAATAGTTTTTTCTAGTCCACTGATTTACTTTTTCCATACTACCTACCTAACTTCGTGCCTCAACTACACAAACTACATGTCCCAGGATGCACTGCCCGATTAAAGTCCAATCGAGGACCTGGAGTCTCCGAATGGGTTGCCCTCGCCTTTGTGGATTGGGAACGGTAGCGGTGAAAATTGATAATTGTGTCCAGAGCAGAATTTGGAATCTTAAGAACACGTCGGTGTGCGGAGCCTGTAGTCTGGAGGGGTCCTCGCGTGACTTTCTGCTCAGGCATCGCTGCGGGTAGGCCGACCCCCCCCTCGAGGGTCCTCCTGCAGCAGGCGCACTCCGGCAGTGCACCTCCAAGATGGCGGCGCTGTTGGCGGTAAATTCGGGTAAGCGCGACCGGGTAGAGGGGGCCGGTGGTGCAGGGCGGGATCCGGTTTATAGGGAGCATCCTCGCCGTGCAGCCCTACGGAGTCTCGGCTCCGGTTTGTGCGCGGCGCCTGCTTTCCCGGGCTCCGGCTTCCGGGCCCGCGTTTCCCCAGTTTGAATGGCGCGCGGCGAGACTGCGGCTTCGGCCTGGAGCTGGGCTTTGAGGGCTGAGCGGCGGGGTTCGCTGCAGAGGGACGCACGGGCTCCCGCAGCCCTACCTGCCTCCTCCCACCCACCCCTCCATCCGTACACTTGCCTGCAGCCCAGATTTCGGCAGGCAGTGGGGCCTCAAGCCGAGCCGAGGGAAGCTTACCTCAAAGCTGGCTTTGGGGCCTCTCACGGATTGCGGTAGGGAGTCTTTTAGGCTCATAGGATCTTATATCATGAAACCGGCTGCAGATGCCCAGGAATGGGGTGCCAGGGGCTCAGCAGATGCCTTCCAACCTTCCGGGTATGGTCCGGGCTGCACCCTTGTAACAGGAGACTGTGAATCAGGTGGAATCTGCAAGAGAAACTGTGGAAGAATGCAAGGAAACAGGCAAGAGGAACTGAGGAAGAGTTGGGGTGGGTCGTCTTTTGATGATTCGACCCCCTAGAGTCTTTTGAAAGAGTGGGTGCATTTAGGACTGTCAAAATTCCTGGAATGAGCTGCTCGCCTTAGCGGGAGAACATAGATGTCAAGAGTTTTGTACGAGGTATGGATACTGGTTAGAGGCGCCACAGCAGATGCTTCTAAATGTTCAAGAGGACTCTTCTGGGCGTGATTTGTTTCTGAAATGTCTTTTTTTTGGGGGGGTACCAATTTGTTCTTTCCATATTACCAATATTTTTGAAAAGTTGTCTAAATCTGAGTTTTATATATTAAGTCATCTCAGAAATGGTATGGTAAATTGACCTATAAAAATGAAGGGTTCTGTTTATTAAGCATGTACCATCTCCCAGCATTGGACCAAGTATTATACTTGCTTTATCTCATTTAATTCCTTTATATCCCATGGTGTATTAAACACCCAGATTTAATTTGGAACCAAAGGCTTCTAGTGGTTAAATAACATCTCCAAAATTAAACAGCTAATGATTTTGAGCCAAACCTAGGTTCTTAAATTAGTGCATACTATGGCGTAAACACAACCTCATTCATTTTAATGACATCAGATCACATGTGCCCACACAGATACACAGTAAATAAATGTACTAATTTTCGTGTGTGTGTGTCTTTTTTGAGGCAGGGTCTCCCTGTAGCCCCAGCTGGCCTTGAACTCACAGAGATCCACTTGCTTCTGCCTCCCAAGTGATGGGATTAAGGGCATGCATCACTACGCCGGCATATTATTTTTTTTTTATTTTTGTGTACTAGAGCAGTATATGTGTATGAGTGTATTGCCTACATGTATGTAAGTGCACCTGTGTTGTCCAGTGCCCTGGGAGGTCAGAAGAGGGTGTGGGATCTCCTGGAACTGGAGCCAGCCATGTGGTTGTTGGGGATCGAACCTGGGTCCTCTGCAAGAGCAGCATTCTCCAGCCCCCTCCTTTTTTAGAATTTAAAAATTTTTTTTACTTTATTTTTACTTTTCTTCCTTCCTTCCTTCCTTCCTTCCTTCCTTCCTTCCTTCCTTCCTTCCTTCCTTCCTTCCTTTTGCCTTTTTGAGACGGGATGGATGGATGCTTGAGTTCTTCCCTAAGATGATTAATTTTTAAAAAATTCTAAAGGGCTGGAGAAGGCTCAGTGGTTAAGGGCATTGACTGCCCTTGCAGAAGACCAAGGTTCTGTTCCTAGGACCCACGGGTTGGCTAATAACTAGCTGTAACTCCAATTCCAGGGTATTCAAAGCTCTCTTCTGGCCTCCATGGGCACTGCATGCACAGGTGCACATACATATATGCAAGGAAAACATAATACACATAACATAAAAATAAATTTGGGGCTGGAGAGATGGCTCAGCAATTAAGAGAACTGACTGCTCTTACAGAGGACCCAGGTTCAATTCCCAGCACCCACATGGCAGCTAACAACCAATTGTAACTCTAGAGCCCTGGGATCCAGTGCCGCCTTCTGACCTCCACCAGCATTGCACAACACAGGTGCACCCAAACACATGCAGGCAATACACTCATACACATAAAAAGTAAAAATAAGGCTGGCCGTGGTGGCACACGCCTTTAATCCCAGCACTCGGAAGGCAGAGGCAGGTGGATCTCTGAGTTCAAGGCCACCCTGGTAACAAAGTGAGTTCCATAGATGCTGATAGGTGAGTGAATAGATAATGGATGAGTGAATAAATAAAACATGACATGTGCACACAGAGGAATATTTATTCAGCCTTCAAAAGGGGGAAATCCTGTCACATGATGATACAACATCAATGAATTTTGAGGATATTAAGAGGGCTACTCCAGACATAGGCACAAAATACTGTAATTTCACTTGTGAAGTGTAACCAAATTGAAAATACAACAAAGCAAAGAATTAGAGTAGTGGTTGCCAGGGGCTAGGAAAGGGTATTTTATGTATATGTATGTGTATGTATTTTAAATTATTTGTGTGTGTGTGGGTCTGTGCATTGGTGAGTGCAGTGTTGGAGTTCAGAAGAGGGCATCAGATGCACGGCAGCTGGAATTACAGGCAGTCGTGAACCTCCTGACCTGGGTGCTGGGAGCTGAACTTGCATCTTCTACAAGAGCAGTATATGTATTCCCAACTGCTGAGCCATCTCTCCAGTCTCAAGTTTAGCAGATGTTGTAAATCTTCATCTTGTTTGCTCTTTCAGGAAAAGACCAAAACCCTTAGCCTAGACTAGGAAACCCTGTACAGGTAGCAGTTGCTTATCTTGTCAAATCCACTTTTTGTTCTGTCTCTGTCTCTTTCACTTTCTCTCACTCTCTGACAGTGTAGTGTTCCTTCCTGCCATGGAACCTTCTTGCTGTCTTCACTTCCCTGAAGACATGTCTTACCTCATAGCTCTCGGTTAACTTCCATTTTTTTCTTTTAGATATTGGCTTAATCATACTTTCCAAATCTTTCTCTGGGTGGGTCAAATACCCTTAGTGTATGCCTCTCCATACCGCTTACACAGTTGAATGTGTTGCCTGCCTCACGACACTGTAAACTTGCCAGTGTCTCATACATCACAAATGAGTAAATGTGATGTGCTGGAAGCATCCCAAAACATTATAGAAAGTAAATGTATTTCTCAAGGAATGTAAATAATGTTAAATATATACTTAGCTGTTTGAAAAAATGTATTACCTTTAATTTATAATTAGTAAAAGATACTAAAATTGGGAGACCAGATAAATCTTTGGTGTCCTTATCTTTGGTGATGTGCTCATGTTCATTATGGACTAAGTTGGGCTGGCATATGAGATTTGTGTATGTATTTTTTTCATTTATTATTGGCTATATCCCATTAAGGAGGAAGAAATGGAACTTTTCTATGTGATTTACTGAGCTTAGTGCACTATCCATGCGTAACACAAGGAAATTTATTAGTCATTCAGAAGTACATTTTTTTAAGATTCACTTTATTTAATGTGTATTCCTGTGTGTCTCTGTGTGGTATGTACACATGAGTGCAGCTGCCTCTGGAGGCCGGAAGAGGATGTTGATCCTTTGGAGCTGGGGTTAGAAGCTGTTGTGAGTTACTGGACGTGGGTGCTGGGAACTGAATTTGAGTCCTCTGGAAGAGGAACAAGTGCTCTTAACTGCTGAGACATCTCTCCAGCCTGTTGTTCATTATTAAGTTTTTTGCCGGGGCAGGGCGTGGTGGTCTTTTTTGAGACAGGATCTCTGTAGCCCCAGCTGGCCTGGAACTAGACCAGGTTGGCCTTGAACTCACAGAGATTTGCCTACCTCTCCCTCCCTAGTGCTGGGATTAAAGGCATGTGCCACCACGCCTGGCTTCATTATTGAATATTTTAAGGGTAGAAAACTATTGTGAGATTGTGAGACAAGGTCTCACAATATAGCCCAGGCTGGCCTCAAACTTTGATTCTCCTTCCTCAGCCTTTTGAATACAAATGTGTGCCTTCGTGTCTGGTTGTTTTGTCATCTCTATAAAATTTCTGTCTTTGTCGTAAAACATGTTCCCAGTTTGTGTAGAACTCTTTTCCCCTAGGACAGGGATTGAAGCCTGGGCTTTGTGCTCTTTCTCCACCCTCAGTTTTGAGACTTTACTTTTGACCCCTATGCTCTTCATTCCTAATTCTAACTCCCCTCTTTCCTGACAGGCCTTTCCCAACTATTTTAATGTCCTTACCTTAGTTTTAGCTTTCATGACCTGGTTACCTACATATTAACTTGGCTTCCCAATACTTCCTGTTCCACTGTACTCACACCGTTGTTCTACTGTGCCAGTTTTTTTTTGTTGTTGTTGTTGTTATGTACTATAGGTTGAACATCCCTTATTTGAAATGGTTGGTACCAAGAAATATTTTGTTTTGTTTTTTGATTTATTATTTTATGTGTATGAGTGTATTGCCTGCATGCATGTGAGTGCACCTATGTCATGCAATGCCGTGGAGGTCAGAAGAGGGCTTTGGATTCCCCTGGAACTGGAGTTAAGGACGGTTTGTAGCCGCCATGTGGGTGCTGGGAACCAAACCCGGGTCCTCTGCAAGAGCAGTCAGAGTGCTCTTAACAGCTGAGCCATCTCTCCAGCCTGGGTTTTTTTGTTTTGTTTTGTTTTGTTTTGTTTTTTTAATTTGATAATATTTGCATAGAGTGTACTGGTTGAGCAACCCTGATTCAAAGTATGAAACTTTTTGAACCTCATGTTGGTGTTCAAACTTTTAAAATTGCACTGCCACCCAAGACTCAAATCCACTTTGTCCTTTATCATTAGAGAGGGCCAAGAACATGATCCCCGATGGAAGTCACCAGGGTCTAGCAGCAGGTCATTTTGGCAGGCTTGGAAATGGGACTTTTGCCAGTCCACATAGCCTTAATTAGTCCCATAAATTAATTTCTCTAATCAAATCCAGAAAAGAGGTATGCAAGCCAGTGTGCCACTGTATTGATTGGTAGTGACAGTGTATGTGCATGAGTACTTATGTCACTTTGTCAGCAGATCTTCACTGTAGAAATTAACATGACAGGTTCTGTTATTTTGAGATGGGATCCTGCTGTGCTGGTTAGGCAGGTCTCAAATTTTGGGCACTAGTAATCTGCTTCAGTCTCCTAAGTAGTTGAGATTACAGGTTTGTGCCACCACATCTGACCGTCCATCCATCCATCCATCCATCCATCCATCCATTCACACACATATACATATATACCACACACATTTTATTTATTTTTTTATTTTATTATTTTTGCTTTATGTGTATGAATGTGTTGCCTGCATGTAGGTAGATGTACTTGTGCAGTGCCCGAGGAGGTCAAAATAGAGTGTCAGATCCCCTGGAACTGGAGTTATGGACAGTTAGCTGCCATGTAGGTTGCTGGGAATCAAACCCAGGTGCTCTGCAAGAGTAGCTAGTGCTCTTAACTGCTGAGTCATCTCTCAAGCCCCTTATTTATTAATTTTTTAAAAAATACTTTATGCCGGGCGTGGTGGCGTACACCTTTAATTCCAGTACTTGGGAGGCAGAGCCAGGCAGATCTCTGAGTTCAAGGCCAGCCTGGTTTACAAAGAGCGTCCCAGGCCAGCTGGGGCTACAGGGACACCCTGTCTCAAAAAGACCAAAAATAAAAATATTATTTAAAAAAATTTCACTTTTTGTTTTTTATGTGTATGAATATATTGCCTGCATGTGTGTAAGTGCACTTATGTTGTGCAGTGCCCTCGGAAGTCAGAAGAAAGAATTGGATCCCGTGGTACTGGAGTTACTGATGGTTGTTAAGTCACCACATGGGTCCTGGGAATCAAAACAGGGTCCTCTGCAAGAGCAGTCAATGATCTTAACCGCTGAGCCATCTCTCTCGCCCCTATTTATTTTTTGAGGCAGGGTCTTATTATGTAGCCTTGATTGGCCTAGAACTTGCTGTGTAGACCAGGCTGGCCTCAAACTCAGGTCCATCTGCCTCTGTCTCCCCCAGGATTAAATTCGTGTGCCACCACCCCTTGGGACAAGCTATATTTTTAATCAGGATCGATATGATTAAAATAGAGGTTTCAAGTAGGAGAAGCAAAGTTAGGAGTTGGATGATCTCTTTCTGAGGAAACTTTACATATGCTGACTCCTGTTCTCCCACATCCTCACACCAAAGACCTGACACACAAAGCCTCTTGTCCCTGCCTGCCGTCTGCCTGGTGCCGGAGATGGTTGGGGGCCTTTTTCATGACGAGCATGCCCTCCATTGGTAGCCCCAACCTCTCCTGCTCATATGTTCTTTCAGTCTCCTGAACTTGATTTTGTGTGTGTGATGCGTGTACATATTAGGTATTGAATCCAAGGCCTCACACATGCCAAGCATGTGCCCTACCACTGAGCTTTACCCCCAGCCCCAATTGTGAGTTTTTTTAAAGATCTGGATTATTTTTCTTATTCTCTATGGCTCAACCTCACTGTTAATTTTTTTTTTTTTGGCCTTTTTTTTTGAGATAGGGTCTCCCTGTAGTCCCAGCCGACCTGAACTCATAATGTAGACCAGGATGGCCTTGAACTCACAGCAATCTGCCTGCCTCTGCCTCCTGAGTGCTGGGAATAAAGGCGTTCGCCACCACACCGGGTGAGTCCCATTAATTTTTTTTTTTTTTTACTTTTTGAGACAGGTTCTCCCTGTAGCCCCAGCTGTCCTGGAACTCACTATGTAGACCAGGCTGGCCTTGAACTCACAGAGATCCGCTTGCCTCTGCCTCCCAAGTGCTGGGATTAAAGGTGTACGCCACCCTGCCTGGCCTAAATGTGATCTTAATTCTGTCACTTACCCTACTATTTGCCAGATGTTTCTGACATCCATAAATCCATCTTCTGAAACATTTTCACTAGCTAAGAGGTGTTATGTATCACCAGTGGTTAAGGCTATATCTTAATGCCATATGGCTGGTTTAGATCTTACTAATCCTTGGGGTGAGTGTTTTGACCATCTACTGCAGTTTTTTTATTTGGAACGGAAGGAGACAGTGTTGACCTCATAGGGTTTTGTAAGGTACAGTAATACAGGTAAAGAACTCAAGGCCATGGTTACATGCACAGCAAAAGCTCAGTGAGAATTAGCTATTATGTGAATAAAAATGTGATCTTAGGATTTTATAAGTCTTTAGTATTTCTTTGCTTTTTAAAGAAAAACATTTTATCTATTTTTTATGTGTATGAGTGTATTGCCTGCATGTATGTGAGTGTACCTGTGTTGTGCAGTGCCTCGGAGGTCAGAAGACAGTGTTGGATTCACTTGGAACTGGAGTTAAGGACAGTTCTTAGCCACCATGTGGGTACTGGGAATCGAATCTGGGTCCTCTGTAAGAGCAGTCAGTGCTCTTAACCGCTGAGCCATCTCTCCAGCCCCTTTCTTTGCTTTTTAAAATAGCCAGTGTCCCAGCTAAAATAAAGTATGTGTTTCAGCTTCCTAAATAAGCAGAATGTTTTCACAGAATCTGCTTTTCATCAGGAGGTTAGGGAAAGAAGGACGAGCACTCACTTATTGAGTTCCTGTCATATAGCAGGCGGTATGTTGTGTAGTTTACTTAGTTTATGTCATTTAAAAACCTTTAAGCTGTTGAGTGTGATGGCATAGGCCTGTAATCATAGCACATAGGTGGCTGAAACACGAAGTTCATGAATTCCAGGCCAACCTGGTCTATAGAAACAACTATCTCAAAAAACAAACACAAGCCTTTGATCCCAACATTCTGGAGGCAGAGGCAGGTGGATCTCTGGGAGATTGAGGCCAACCTGGTCTACATAGGAAGTTCCAGGCCAACCAGAGCAACAGGGAGACCCCATCTCAAAAGCCCAAGACAAAAAATAAACGCAAAAAAGAAACCCCAAGAACTTAGAAGCCTTAGAGTGATGATGCTCCTGTTTTATCTATAAGGAATCCAGAGTAGAAAAGAGGTATTTCCTCCACTGCAGGTCACATAGATTATAAGGTGGTACAACCAGGTTAGATGAGCTTCCACTTGAATTTGATGTTTGTTTGTTTGTTTATTTATTTATATATTTATTTTAGTCTTGAGACAGGGTCTCCCAGTAGCCCCAGCTGGCTATGAAGACCAAGGATGGCCTTGAATTCAGAGATCCACCTGCCTCTGCCTCCCCAGTTCTGGGATTAAAGGCATGTGCCAGCATTCCTGGCTTTTTATTTGATTTTTATATAGTTAGAAGACATGTTCATATTGTTGCAAACAACTGCAGTAAACTGTACTTTTATGCTTTTGGCTTATGTTTTTAACATATTAAAACGTAGACAGGAATGTGACTAAGGTGTAGCTGGTAACTGCACAGTGACTTTCCAATTGTATGTCATATTTCATGCTGGTTTTGTTCTTTCTTTAAGCTGCTAGCCTATGGGGACCTTACAAAGACATCTGGCACACAGTTGGAAATGCTCTTTGGAGAAGGCAACCTGAAGCTGTCCACCTCCTTGACATGATTTTGAAGAAACACAAACCTGACTTCATCTCCTTGTTCAAAAACCCAGTAGGAAATTCTCTTTTATCCTTCTTAGATTTGCTTTTTTTTTTTAATTTGGAGAGTGGTGAACTTTTTATTTTTAATTTGTAAATTACATTTATTTATTTATTTGTGTGTGTGTGTGTGTGTGTGTGTGTGTGTGTGTGTATATGTATATGGTACCATGGTGTGCATGTGGGGGTCAGAGGAAAACTTTTGGGAGCCAGCCAGTTCTTTCCTTTCACTATGTGGGACTGGTCAAGCTTAGATTCTCTGGCTTGGTGGCAGGAGCCATTTTTGCTGGTCCTTTTTTTTTTTTTTTTTTTTTAATATATACTCTATTATTTTTATTTTTGTGTGTATGAGAGAGTATTGCCTGCATGTATGTAAGTGCACCCATGTTGTGCAGTGCCTATGGAGGTCAGAAGAGGGTGTCAGCTCCCCTGGAACTGGGGTTATAGACGGTTGTTAGCTGCCATGTGGGTGCTGGGAATTGAACCCAGGTCTGCAAGAACAGTTAGTGTTCTTAACCACTGAGCCATCTCTCTGCCCCCCCCCCCTTTTTTTAATTAAAGAATTGAAAGAGCAAGTGAACATTTTTTTTGATTTCTGAGACAAGGTCTCACTATGTAGTACTGACTGGCCTGGAGCTCACGATGTAGATCAGGCTGGCCTGGACCTCACAGGGATCTGCCTGCCTTTGCCTCCCAAGTGCTGAGATCAAAGGTGTGCACTATGATCAGTGCAAGCAGAATCTTTTTTTTTTTTTGGTCTTTTTGAGACAAGGTCTCCCTGAAGCCCCATCTGGCCTGGAGCTCTCTATGTAGACCAGGCTGGCTTTGCCTGCCTCTGCCTACTGGGATCAAAGGTGTGGGCCACCATGCCTGGCTTGCAAGTAGACTTGTAATGCATGTAAATAAAATATATTACTTGAATTCTTCAGTGATTCTAGTTTTCTTTTAAAATGTATCCTTCTTCCCCAGTGGAGCAATTATTATCTTTTTATTCTCCATAGAACTTGCTATTGAACTTATCATCAGCTAAGCAGCGAACTTACTATCTGAAGATGATTTGGGAAAAGCAGTATATTCTACAAGTACTAGTTGCCTTAGAATTTCTCACCTATAATTTTAATAAACAGAACCTTTATTGATTACTCATTTCTAGATACACTTCTACATTTTAAGTCTCCTTCATGTTGTGTAAGCTGTGTTAGCTGGACTAATTTGTTCTTGCATGTCATGAGTCACTTTGCCTTGAAATCCTCTCTGGTAGGACTAGAGTGCGTCAGTGGAGGGGATTCACATTTGAAGGTCCTCTGCTTGCTCTTAGACAGTTTTCTGTTTTTCAGCTCTTTTGAGGCAATATTTCATGTAGCTGGTCTGGGGCTCTCTGTGGCTTAGGTTGACTTCGACCCTTCTGCCTCAGCCTCTTGAGTCGTTGGGATTATAGGAGTGAGCCACCATGCCTGTCTGACAATTTTCTTCTATATACTAACATGATCATGTAAGAATTACAGAGTTGTGTTACAAGAAATGATGTTTTGCATGAAAAATGATTTTTTACATTTATTTGTGTGTGTGTGTGTGTGTGTGTGTGTGTGTGTGTGTGTGTGTATACATACACGTATGCCACAGTGCACGAGTGGTGGTCAGAGGACAACTTGCGTAAGTCGATTCTTTCCTTCCATCATGTGGGTCCTAGGGATTGAGCACAGGTTGTCAGGTTTGGCAGCAGGCACCCTAACTCACTGAGCCATCTTATCCTCCTGGAGGTTTGCTTTTATCTCTTCGGGTTTCTCTCTCTCTCTCTCTGGCTCTAAAATTTGAAACTATGGCCTTCTGCATGCTAGGCAAGCACTCTACCACTGAGGTATATTTCTAGCCTCTTTTCTACTTAAAAAAACAAGACAAAAAACAAACAACTTCTTAAAACAATCTTGCCAACTTATCCAGACTGGCCTTGAAACACGATCCTCCTGCTTCAGCTTCTTCAGTAGCTGACTTTCTTTTGACTTCCTTTAGTAGCTTGGAGCTAGGAGCTAGTTGAGCTGAGGTCCAGTCTTGGCTTGTCCACCAGAGAGGTGCACTACCTCAGACAAGTTACTGAGCTTATGTTGGTGGCATTTAGTCTGTGATGAAGAGCTGGATTAAATGATTTAGGTTGTGATTTTTTCAAGATGTAAATTTTGGGCAGTTTGTGATCTGTCAGGTACTTCTGTACTGTATCTCTTTTGTGAAATATTTGAATCAAAGTATCTTTGATAGGAGTTGAGGAGATACCTTAATGGTAGAGCACTTGCCTAGCTTGTACAAGTCTCTGGGTTCTATTCCCAACATCATAAAAAAAATTGAAATAAGGTAATATCTCATGTTAATAAACTATGATTCACTCTACAAAGTAATACTATTGTTTATTAACACAATTCAGATGTCTGTTTGAATTATTGGGTATATAACTGGAAAAGTCACTTAGAAATGTGAAAAATAGAATACTACTTATATTTTCTCTGAATTTTGTTGTTTAGAGTTTGGTATAAAGGGTCGAGAAAATAGTGTTGGGATTTAAAAGTCGAAGGTGGTAGCAAGTGTCGTCTCATAAACATCAGATTCTGAGCCGAGTCATAATACCTGGCTTCTTTGTTTCATTTTGTTTATGAGATAGGGTCCTGGGTTGTAGCCAGGCTGGCTTTGAACTCTCCCCACTTGCCTCAGCCTCTAAGTGCTGGGATCACGGGTGTGTACTGCAGTGGCCAGCCAGGCTGCATTATCATCAACAGACTTCAAGTCCCCTTTTGGACCTTGCCTCCAGTGTATACTATTTTCATTGCTTGATTATAATTTTATCATTCTAGCCAAAAAATGTCCAACAGCACGAGAAAGTTCAGAAAGCCAGTTCGGAGGGAGTCGCCATCCAGGGTCAACAGGGAACCCGACTTCTTCCTGAGCAGCTCATTAAAGAAGCCTTCATCCTCAGCGACCTTTTTGATATTGGGGAACTGTCAGCTGTTGAGCTTCTTCTTGCCGGTAGGTTGACATTTAGCCGAAACTGTGCAAGGTAGTACAGAACTGTAAAGGTGGTCTCCTGTTGTAGAACATTTGATTGCTTAGGTAACAACTTCTTTTACCAAAATTATTCAAAATGTTTTATTTATCTTTGATTAAAGGGAAAGCGTCAGCTTAGTAATTCTGGCTGTTGAGGGTAATTGAAAAGCCTTAAGATAGGCTTTTTAAACATGGTAATTTACTAGCGGAGCCTAAACTCTTCATCTCCACTTATGGTACAAGGCATGTATTGTCATGCAGGGAGTAGGTAGGGATGCTGGTGTTTTGGAATTTCTTTAGAAAGTAATTCAGGTAAGGAACGACGGGTGAAAAATAAGGTAATTTTCATAATAAGTACGAGGAAGAAAAGAAAGTGAGGCATTGGAGCACAGAGAAATCAGGGCTGGTTAGTGTAGTTTTTTTCTTTTAAAAGATAGGGTTTCACTATGTAGCTCTGGCTGGAACTTGCTATGTAGACCACATTAGTTTCAAACTCACAGAGATCTGCCCGTCTCTGTCTCCTGAGTGCTGGGGTCAAAGGTCTGGTTATGGTTATTCTGATTTGCCAACTTAGTCAAGGTCTCTCTGAGGTGAGGACATTTGAAGCCTGAGTCATGTGGAGATGCCAGCCACCCAGACCCCACGGGGAAGGCAACTGCAGGCACAAGTAGCATGTGCTCGAGGTCAGAATCAGTGCATGTTTAGGGGCAAAAAGACTGCTGGGACTGGAGCGTGGCGAGTGCAGGAGAGTGAAGGAAGCTTCACATATTTGGATTTTATTCTAGTTGGAGTAGTAAGGTATCATTAGAGGATTTAATCAGAAGCATACATAACCCAAAATAACTTGGAAATTAATCTGTGGCTGCTATATAAAAATTGAAATTTCTGAGCCAGGCATGGTGGCACACACCTTTAATCCCAGCACTCGGGAGGCACAGGCGGGCGGATCTCTGTGAGTTCAAGGCCAGCCTAGTCTACATAGTGAGTCCAGGTCAGCTGAGACTACAGGGAGACCCTGTCTCAAAAAGACAGAAAAAAAAAAAAAGAAAGAAAAAAATTGAAATTTCTGTAAAATAAGCAGTTCATTTTAATTACAATAAAAGCCATGTGAAAAAAATACAGACATTGCAGTTGAATAGTTTAATATATCTAAATATATCATGTGGCTACCAAAATCCTTTTTGACTAAAGACTATACTAAAAAGTTAGATATTAAAGACAAAAGATTGAAGAGGAGGAAGGTAGTTTTCCTTGTGGGGAGGAGAGGATATTAACTGGGCATGCTTCAGTTTTAAATTTAACTCAGAACTTCGAGCTTTTAGAGATTTTGTTTGTTTGTTTGTTTTTTCTGGCAATGCCAGGGATAGAACCAGGGTCTGGTACATGCTCTGCAAACTCTACCCTTGAGCCATATCCTGAGCCCAGAACTCTGATTTAATAAACATTTACTCTATACCTCTCATGTTCTAGACACTGTGATAAGACTTCTGCAAAATGAATAAAGTCACAGCTGGTATAAAGGAACACGGTGTAGTGATAGGAAATGTTTGGATATGATTCCATGTATTCGGGCTTACCCAGGATTCAGCAGTGGTCTAGAGGGAAGAGGATTAGATTGACATGGATTGCACAGAGAGGCCTTCACAGAGCTCATGAGGTTTAAGGTCGGTGTTGCAAACCACATTGCAGGTGGAAGATTTTATATGAGTAAAAATAAAATGGGCTTTAAACAAAATTGGATTCAGTGGACAACACAGGGAGATCAGAGATGAATTGAATTTGGCAAGTGATGAATTTCATGTTGCTATTACTGGTGTTAATCTTGGTGTATGTCAGATGGCCCTGGGACTCTGCTGGGCCAAGAGTGATGGACGAGTAGAGGCCCCCACAGGGTCTCTGTAACAGCTTTCAGAGTTATTATTTTAATAAGATGTTGGCATTAAGATTTTTGCTTCAGCTGTGAGTGATGCACACACCTTTAATCCCAGCTTCTGGGAGGCAGAGGCAGGAGGACCTCTCTTATGAGTTCCGGGGAGGGGAGGGGAGGGGGAGGGAGAGGAGAGGGAGGGGAGAGGGAGGGAAGAAAAGAAAGGATTTTTTTTGTCTCATCTCAAACACATTTGTGTTTACTTACTAAATTACTTCTTGACTTCCCCTTCTAGGAGAGCATCAACAGCCGCATTTCCCTGGGCTCACCCGAGGCTTAGTAGCCGTCCTTTTATACTGGGATGGAAAGCGGTGCATTGCAAATTCCCTCAGAACCCTGATACAGTCTAGACGGGGGAAGACATGGACACTAGAACTCAGGTCTGTTTCCTTCTTGAGACATTAGCAATTAAATGTGAAATTGCTTGAAGAATTACAATTTTGGAAATAAAAATTTCTGATAAGTGTATACACTTTTCAGTGAAATACATGATCTCAGCTCGCTAATATACTCCATTATTCTGTCCAGAATGACAGAGTTTAAAACCTGCCTTGTTTACAGATAACAAAGTACTTAGGCACGTCTTTAGTCCCAGCACTCAGGCAGAGGCAGGTGGATCTCTGTGAGTTCAAGGCCAGCCTGGTCTACATAAGTGAGTTCCAGGCTACAGGGAGACCCTGTCTCAAAAAGACCAAAAAACAAAAAGTACTTAGAAATTTAACCCCAATGATTTAGAAAGGGTAAAAAGGAGACTATAATTCATCCTGGTTGTTTTAGTAAGGGGCTGTTTGTCCCCCCCAAAATTGTTCACTGTACTTTTATTTCTTTCATCACAGTCCAGAACTGGTTTCCATGACAACACGCTTTACCGATGAGCTGATGGAGCAAGGATTGACTTACAAAGTCCTTACTTTGCTGTCGCAGATTGATGTGAATAATGAGTTTGAAAAACTACAGCGCGACAGAGGCTTGGGCAGTGAGAAACACCGCAAAGAGGCAAGGACTCCCTGAGATGAATTCACGGGTTGGCTCCATCAAATCTTAGGCAGAAGGCATAACAGTTAGAATATTCATTTTGTGGAGGGCAAAAGAAAATACTGTGTTTTAGACTGTGTAGTCTGCAGTGTTCATGAAATTGGTTTGCAGTTGTTTTGGCTTCTGTAAGTCACTTCTGTGCCATTTCTAGCTCTTTCTGAAATCAACTGAATTATTCAAGGAATTGTTCACCACAGAGTTTTAAGGAATTTAGTAGTGAAGAATAAGCCCTAGGAGTTGTTCAGAATCTAGCAATTTTAGGATCACTTGTGGACTCACATAAACTTATTTTGTTAATAAGATCAGGGTTCACTGTAATATAATTATGTTTTTATGTATTTTTAGGTATCTGATCTCATTAAAGAGTGCAGGCAGTCTCTGGCAGAAAGTCTTTTTGCCTGGGCTTGCCAGTCACCGTTAGGCAAAGATGACACCCTTCTCCTTATTGGGCATTTGGAAAGAGTGACAGTTGAAGCTAATGGCTCCTTGGATGCGGTGAATCTGGCTCTCCTTATGGCCCTTCTATACTGTTTTGATACCAGCTTTATAGAACAAAGCACAGAGGAACGAGATGGTATTGAATGTTATAGTTTTTAATGCTTTTTTAAAAAAAATTACAGTTAATTTTTTGTGTGTAATATGTGGTTGTGTGTCCATGCCTTGAAGGTCAGAGGACAACTTGTGAGAGTCAGTTCTCTCCTTCCACCATATTGGTCAGGGAGATCGAGCTCAGGTTGTCAGGTTTGGCAGCAAGCACCTTTACCTACTGAGCAACTTGGTGGCCTGGCCTCAAACTCTTGATCTTCCTTCCTGAGCCTCCTCATGGAGGCTACTACACCCAGAAGTCTTTTTATTTTCAAGAATCAAAATTTAAATTGAGGAGAGAACATTTAAGAAAGGCAATATTTTAACTCCTAAAATATAAATTTGCCTCCTTGTCTCTATTTGTGCAATTCAGTCATGTTCCAATATTTTAGATATTTGATCACATTAAAGGCTGGGATCATAACTCAGTGGTAGGGACTGCTTAGCATGGGTGAGGCCCTGAGTTTGCTCCCCAATAGCCAAAACAACAGCAGAAAAGCAGGTGTGGGAGTTGTCCTATGCTATTTGTTTCTTTTGAGATAGGAAATGGACATCTTAAAGGATGGATAGTATGCTCATGAGTGTGCGTGCTGGAATTTACTTTAATTGCTTGTTTCGTTACATTCACATTTTCAAAATTTTGTGAAAACAATCTTATTTCATTATGGATATAATTTTTGTGAAGCAGATAACTTATTTTATCTTTAGAAAATATTTATATTTTAGAATTTTTGTATATACAGAAAAATGAGTGCCTCTTTTTTTAAATTTCTATCATGTTTATGAAAATCATTGAAAGTAGTTAAAATTTAGGGCTGCCTTTCCTTTTTATTTTTTGTATGTATAGGTCTTCACAGTAATGTAGATTTTGGTGTGTCAGACACTACCGTTAGTCATAGTCTTTTTTTGAAAATGCTCAGTGGTTTTGGCTTTTAGATATTCCTTGTGTCAGAAATGAGAATTTATTTCTGTACCTTTTGATGAAGTGGTCTGTTTTTGTGTTTTCAGATATGATTCATCAACTTCCACTGTTGACAGAGAGACAGTACATTGCCACAATTCATGCACGTCTCCAGGACTCCCAACCCTGGAAGCTTCCTGGCTTGCAGGCCACTGTTCGACTTGCCTGGGCCCTGGCACTGAGGGGAGTTTCCCAGTTGCCTGATGTGACAGGTGAATTGTGGTTCATTTTGTTATGAGAAACAGTGTATCAGCAACTAATGAAAATCCCAGGTCATTGGCATGTACCATTACACCTTGCAATATGTTTTTTTCAAAAATGAGATTTTTTAAATCAAGGAGAGAACATTCAAGAGCTTATATGTCTGACATGTATGAGCATGGTAAAATAGGAGTTTAACTTAGATGAAACTTTGTAAAATAGTGGTGAAATACGTTTTTCCTTATCTCCTCAAAGAGCTTATGTGAACTATTTTTGTTTCTTAGAACGGACAATGCACTTTCATCTTCAGAGTAAGAGCATGAAGGCCTAAAATTCTGCTGGGCATGGTGGTGTGTCTTTAATCCCAGCACTTGGGAGGCCGAGGCAGGTGAATCTTGTGAGATCAAGGCCAGCCTGGTTTGCATAGCAAGTTTAAGACCAGCCAGGGATACATAGTGGGACCCTGTCTCAAACAACAAAAACAAAAAGTTGAAAATTGTAACAGGCAGAATCATATTAATACTGTTTTTCTTTTGTGGTGCTGACAGTTGAACCCAGAACTTCACATATTTCCTTGGCAAGGTTCTGCTACTGAGCTCTGTTCCCAGGGTCTCCTGTATCCCAATATCATCTCAAACTTGCTATGTAGCCAGGGGTACCTTTGAACTTCGGGTCCTCCTGCCTCTACCTCCCACAGGCTGGGATTACAGGTGTGTCACCACAGCCAACTCATTATTTTTATTAAAATTTATTATTTCATTTTTATACATTTTATTTTTGGTTTGCTTACAAACCTTTTCACAATTCAGTCTAATAGAAAGGAGATATTTGGGTCACTCAAGCATAGGTAGGGGAGTTGTCTGAATCCTGTACTTCTCTGTAGATTGCATAATCAGATTCTGCTGTCTCCATCCTTGTAATTATCATACTTATGGTGATGTGCCCTGTCAATTGCAAGTTGCACTTTGATTATAATTTGAAGTACAAAGAATTGTCACTTTGGAAGGTTTTTGTGGTAGTCTATGGATTGGTTACTTTCTTCTTTGCTGTGATCAAGCACCTGACAAGAACAGTTTTAAGAGATGAAGAGTTTATTTGGTTTTCATAGTTTGTGGAGATAAAGTCTGTCATGGCAGGAAAGGCATGCAGTGGGAGTGTAAGAGCTGGTCATACTGTACCCGCTGGCAAGAAGGAAACAGAGGAAGAATCCTGGTCCTCTGCTGGCTTTTACATTTTTTCCCCCTTTTAATTTATCCTGGGACACCAGCACATGGGATGGTAGCATCCCACATTCATGATGGAGCTTTCCTCAGTTAAACCTGTGTGGAAATACCCTCTAAGACATGCACAGTGACGTGTGTTCTTGGTGATTCCAAATCCAGTCAAGTTGATGGTGAAAATTAGCCATAACATCTGGAAAGGCTTTATTCAAATTTATATACTTGTCAATATTTTCTAGTCCTAATAATGAGATTGAATCCAGAGTCTTGTGCACATATGCTAGAGCAAGGCTTTACCACTTTCCCAGACTTAATTTTTTTTCAAAGATTTCTTTATTTTTATTTTATACCCATGAGTGCTTATCTTCATATGTGTATGTGCACTGCATGTATGCCTGGTACCTGTGGAAGCCAGAAGAGGGTGATGCATCTGCAGGAACTGGAGTTGATGGACAGTTGTGAGCCACCATGTGGCTTCTGGAAACTGAACTCCTGTCCTCTGCAAGAGGAGCAAGTGCTCTTAACCTCTGAGTCATCTCCAGATGCTAGTATTCTGTCAAGTGTATAATTTCACATTTTGTTCATCAGTATCGTGATGGTCCCAAGGGGTTCGCAGAAACTTTTGTAGTTGTTAGTAATCTTTCTTTTGACAGTTTTAAAAAAATTAAAATGGATAGATAATCAATTAGACTTCTGCATTCTTTTGTTTCTCAACTATACATTACATCTTCTTTTCATTTATAAGTCCTTATTTCAGACTGACAGTGTAGACCAGGCTTGCTCCGAACTCACAGAGATCTGCCTCTCCCCTCTCCCCTCTGTCCTCTGCCCTCTGCCTCCCCTGCTCCCTGCTTGAGTGCTGGACTAAAGGTGAGCGCCACCATGCCCCGCTTCCATGATAGAAAACTTAACAACAAAGTTGAAACCAGATCAACATTTCTAAATGAAACCATGAAGTGATAGCAGGGAGGGGGATGGCATGTTGTCCTGGGTACAGTACCAGGTCACATTGTGGAAAAGTGTCAAGCAGGTAAAGGACAAAGCAAAAATAAAATATGTGGGGTAGCTGCAGGCTTATTAGTCAGCTGCAGTGTATAGATGCTGTTTGGTTCCCGATTAAACCAGACTGCTCAAAACAAAGCAAAACAAAAACCCAAAACACAAATTCAAGACCTGTCAGGACCAGGATGACACAATTGTAAATTTGGCTACTGCATATTTCAAACTGAAGAATTATTTTTAAAGATTTGTTAATGATATTGTATGTATATGTAGTTTTTTGAAAGTATTGTTTGAAGTTGAATATTAAAATACTGAAGGGTAAAGTATTTTTTGTTTTTTGCTGTACTTTAGTGTGGGTGGATAGTGGGAAAATACAATTTAAATAAATTCATAATATTAAAATGAGGTGATAGACGTGTTGAGATTAATTGTATTTGTCTGTTTATGGATATCTACTTGAAATTTTCCAGATTTAAACACACACACACACACACACACACACACACACACACAAAGTAGGTCAGTATTTATCTTTGAACTGAGATTTAGTTTTCTGTTAGTAGAGTACCAAATTAGTAGAGTGACTAGTCAGGTTCAGGTTTTAGTTTCACTCATTGGCTTAAACATTTTTCCTACATGACCATGAAATTTTATTGGAAATAAAGCCTTTCCATCATTTTAACATGCTAATGTTTGGATAAGAGCTCTCTCTGACTACGTCAGCATTAGTATTACACATCTTTTAATTAACTCGTCACTCATAGGAAGAACATGTATGCTTCTGATGTACTCTTTTCTTTCAGTTCTTAGGAGTTTGTGAGTCAGTTACAATTATGTATAATCCTCATTTTGTACATAGAACTTACTAGAAGGCTGGGAAGGTGCCTGAAATTTGAACCGTGAGGTTTATATCACGTGATACAATCAGATTCAATGACTTTTCCTATGTATGCTTCTTTTTTCATCTAAATCTACTTCTAGCTCTGGCTGAATTCACAGAAGCAGATGAGGCAATGGCAGAACTTGCGATTGCCGACAGTGTTTTCCTCTTCCTTACTGAATCTGTGGTGGTGTCAGAAAACTTCTATCAAGAAGAATTCTATATTCGTAGGACGCATAATCTCATTACAGACTTCCTTGCATTTATGCCAATGAAAGTAAGTATAATCATGTACGATGAATAAAAATTAAAGGAGTTTGTAAAATAATTTAAAACTGTTTCTTAACTAGCTTTATGTTTTGGCTACTGATAAAGTCAGAATAGACTGAGAGTTGGCAATGGTATATTACAAATACAGTCTTACTGGTGAAAACGAAGCCGCGTAAGCCTTATGGCCTGAAGAGAGTCTTTCAGAAGAAGTATTTGAGACTGGTTTATAAAACAATAGGAAGTAAATGAAATGCTCTGTGAGTGGGCTCTTACTACTAATTCCAAGGTTGCCCTGGGTAACAGTGCTGGAGGCACCTTTTTTTATACTTGGCTCTCTCTGTCCATGTGTTCCACATCGTCAGAATCAACCAACCTTGAACTGAAAATATTCATGATTAAAAATACTGCATTTTTATTGAAACCATACAGGCTTTCTTTTATTTCCTAAATAACAAAGTAGCGACTATTTGTGTATTATTTACATTTGCTATTATAGGTTATCTAGTGATGACTTGATTATAGGGTAAGATATACATATGACATTCAAACACTTTTTTACTTTGTGGAAGGAACTTCAGTGTCCGTAGATTTCTTGGTGTCCTCAGGTGGTGATGGAACCAATCCTTCATGAATTCCAAGGGACAGCTCTCTGTATATTTTTAAATTTTATTTATTTTTTGTGTATGAGTGTATTGCCTGCATGTGTATAAGTGCACCCGTGTCGTGCAGTGCCTGTGGAGGTCAGAAGATGGTGTTGGATCCCTTGGAACTGGAGTTATGGAAGGTTGTTAGCTGCCATGTGGGTGCTAGGAATCAAACCCGGATCCTTTGTAAGATCGGTCAGTGCTCTTAACTGCTGAGCCGTCTCTCCAGCTCTGACAGCTCTATTTTTATACATGATTTGGAAGAGGCATGGTGAAAAAAATTTCACTTTATAGATAAAGTTTAGATTTTTCATTTGTGTAATAAACAGATGGACCTTGGCATGGGTATAAGGTAAAGTAGTAGTTTTAAGAGATGAATAGGACCAGGTGTTGTGGCACATGTCTGTAATCTTAGCATTTGGGAGATGGAGGTAGGAGAGTCAAGGTCATCTTCAGCTGCATAGTGAGTTTAAGACCAGCCTAGGTTGCATGAGGTCTTGTCTCAAAAAAAAAGTAAAATAAACAAAAACTACTTTGGGTGGAAGATTTGAGCTGTACCTCTGAACCACAAAAGGGTTGTTGGGATAATTTCAGGTTTCTTTTGCTTAAAGATGTCATCAGAATGATGGCAGGACATAAATGAGAGCGAAAGGCAGCTTTTTGTGTGTATTAAACTCCCCTTTTTGTTTGTGTCTAAAAAGAAAACACCCTAAAGGGTGTGATACATTGTCAAGTCTAATTCCATACCTACTAAGAACTTAAAGCAGATGGAAAACTTGATGAATGGCAAAAACTACAACAATGAAGTATTTATTCATTACCCAGTGAATCAAGTCTATATACTTTTTTTCTTCTGTGATCCAGGTATTGTGGTAGGTGTCGTGAAAAAGACAGTCTGGTAGCATACCTTATAGTAGATCGTGTACAAAAGGCCCTGAGCTCAGTCCCCAGCAGCCCCCTAAAAATGAACAACTAAAAAGAAATACAAGGGAGATAAATGAGTAAGAGGCTTATTTTCAAACAGCAAAGATTTTATAATCCAGTTGGAGGGTTAAGGTATAGAGAAAAATATAGACCATAACAGTACCTAATTGGTAGGCACAGCTGTTAGATTTCTTTTTTCTTTCTTTTTATTTTATGTGTATGAGTATTCTGTGTGCATGTATGTAAGTGCACCCTTGTGTGCAGTGCCTGCGGAGGCCAGAAGGGGATGTCAGATCCCCTTGAACTGAAGTTACAGATGATTGTTAGCTAACATGTGAGTGCTGGGAAGTGAACTGAGGTCCTCTGCAAGAGCAGTAAGTGCTCTTAACCGCTGAGCCATCTCTTCAACCCTAACAGTCTATTTCTTTAGGCCAAGGATAGCTCACTCAATGACTAGAATAGTCAAAGTGGACAGGTAACTTGAGATGAGTAATCTTGAAGGACTTGATAGGCAAGTATCACAGAATCTTGGGAGTAGGAAGAAGCTTGCCAATATAGCATATCTTTTTATTTTTTTGGTCTTTTTGAGACATGGTCTCCCTGTAGCCACAGCTAACCTGGATTCACTATGGAGACCAGACTGGCCTCGAACTCACAGAGATTCTCCTGCCTCTGCCTCCTGAGTGCTGGGACTAAATATGTGCGCCACCATGCCTGGCTCCAATATATCATTTATATCTGTGGAAAGAAATCCTTAGAAAAGTTAAGGCTTAAAGTATTTTCCATATTGATTATATGGAAAGATGAATTATGGTAGAAGAATCAGATATGGCTTGGGTAAGGTAAACAGTGAGTTGAATCACACAGTTCTTGGATACTGGAATTTCCTTCATAGATACAATGATTTAGGTTTTGCTCTTTTAGGTGAGCTTTGGAAGCTTGTGTCTGCCACTTACTTTGTTCATTGCATCCAGTTACATTGTCTGGTGTCATACTCTTCCTAGTGTTCCTGTTTCATAACTTTTGTTTCTGTAGGATCTACAGTCATAATCCTTCAATTACTGATATGGTGATTAGTATCTTCTTCCTATTTGTATTTTATGTGTATGAGTGTTTTGCCTGCACATATTCGTGTACAACATGTGTGCAGTACCTGCAGAGCCAAGAAGAGGGTTTTGGATCCCCTGAAACTGGAGTTAGCGATGGTTGTTTGCTGCTATGTGGGTGTGGGAACTGAACCTGGATTATCTGCAAGAGCAACCAGTGCTTTTAACCACTGAGCTATCTTTCTAATTCCACATGCATTATTTAAGATAATCAAGCAGTAGAGATGTTCTGCCCCAAATGCAACTAATGTCCCCATTGAGAATCACTAATCTTAACTTCTGTGTAATGAAAAATTCTGTGATTTTAAATATATGTATATATATATATATATATTTAAATTTAAATTTATTTTGGGTGTATGTGTGTGAGCATGCACATGCCACAGTGGGCAGAATGGGAATCAGAGGACTCCATGGTCATCAGGCTTGGCAGCAGGTTCTTTAGCTGCCGAATCATCTCCCTGGCTACCTGTGTTACAGTGATTACCACTATAATCACTGGCAGTAATAGTGTAGTAAAATTCCTAGCACTTTTTCATGTAGGTATTTAATCGATGTTTTTTAATATATAATTACCCTTTTAATTTCTTGATTAACTGATAACATATTTACATTAAGCTTTGTCTAATACATTTAACAGGTGAAACAGCTAAAGAATCGGGCAGATGAAGATGCTCGAATGATTCATATGAGTATACAGATGGGAAATGAACCCCCCATTTCACTAAGAAGGGACCTGGAACACTTAATGCTCTTGGTAAGCTGTTATACTGGAGAGAGAGATTGTCATCTCTTCTTCCATTACTTTTTGCTGAATCTTGGAAAATTATAGTGAATGAATTCAATACTAACATACTTTTTAAAGTAATTTTCTAGTTATAAACACTTCTTTTTGCCTTATTCTCTGCAGATTGGTGAACTATATAAGAAAAATCCTTTTCATTTGGAGCTTGCCCTAGAATATTGGTGTCCCTCCGAGCCTCTCCAGACACCCACTATCATGGGTTCATACCTAGGAGTAGCTCATCAGCGACCCCCTCAACGCCAGGTGAGGTTTTTGTTCTTTATTTTTGGTTCTTTGTTTTGTTTTGTTTTGTTTTTGAGACAGGGCCTCCCTGTAGCCCCGGCTGGCCTGGAACTTGATATGCAGACCAGGCTGGCCTCCTATCACACAGGGATCCATCTGCCTTCACCTTGAGTGCTAGGTTAAAAGCATGTGCCACCAGGCCCACCTTTGGTTTTTTATTCTTATACTCTGGTTTGGTAATTGAGAATTTTGAACACATGAAATAAATTACTTTTTATTGTTATTGTTATTTATACAAATAACACAATTGTAGTCTTTAGAAATTCATATTTTTCTTTTAAGAAAATTGAAGCCATTATGTTTACATTCTGATCATTTTGGATTTCATGTGGTCAGCTCTTTATTATATATTAGGTATGTCAAATTGTTAGTGTCAGAAAACTCCTAGTCTCTATGGATTACTGTTTTGAGGTTTATTGGTATATAGTCTGTCCTCTGTAGATGTGACAATAGCCAGTAGACTTAATTCTTCTCAAGTTGCAGAAGATGAGGTGTAAGCATTAAAGGAGAAGACTTAGAGATTCTAATTGATGACATCATGTATCTGAGTCTTCAGATAATGTTGACAAGAACCCCTCTTTTTATCCTGTGTTCTTTGTAGTATAATTAATGTACAGAAGTAAAATAAGGGATTGCCACATCAAAATTCATTATTTTGGGATTTCTTTTTCAGAAGTTTGGTGCAGTGTAGTCTACATTTTTCTAAAATGTTGGATGGTGCCCCCTTTTATTTTACTGGATTTCTTGCGTTTCAGCTTTTTTCCCCATGTAGAAACTGTTTTAGAAGGATATATTAAAGCTCTTCAAAGGTTAAAAATTCTTTTCTATGATGAAAAATTTAAAACATAGAGAATATTAACAAATTTAATGGCTATCCACTGACTTAATTCCGCATCCTAAGTTGATATTTTGCTGTGGTTCTTTCATTTACAACTACACTTTTATCTTGCGAGGGTATTTTAAAATAAATTATATGCCACATAACTTTTTATTCCTCAATGGTTAAGTAAGTACATCTCTTACAAATAGGCATTTTCCTTTAGTATTATAAAACTGTTTCTGCCGGGTGTGGTGGCGCACGCCTTTAATCCCAGCACTTGGGAGGCAGAGGCAGATGGATCTCTGTGAGTTTGAGGTCAGCTCGATCTACATAGTGAGTTCCAGGACAGCTGGGGCTACAGGGAGACCCTGTCTCAAAAAAGACCAAAAAAAAAAAAAAAAAAAAAAAAAAAAAAAAAAAAAAACCCAACCTATTTCTTACTTAACATTTTATAATAATTTCCAGATATCTATAAACATGTTCAGTAAATATACTAAGGTCAAACTTATGAGTCTGAATAATACTTTTGGATATTAATAATATATTTATAAGCAAGGAAAAAGGGAAACTAAGAGGTGGACTTAAAAGAACAAGGGGTATAGAAACATTCTGATAGAAAACAGGTTATCATCCAAATGATCTTGATGGTTAAGTCTTCCTCTTAATTCAACTGGGATCTAGGAGCTTTGGGATCTAAATATATCTTTGCTGATTAATTTTTGGATGAGTAAAATGTTTTAATTGTTTTACATAGTTAAAAATACGAGTAGTCTTATATGTTGTGACATTGAGATATAATTGCCTTAAATTGCTGATAACAGACTTAACAGTTTTTCATAGAGTAATGGTTAATTTTGGTTTTTGCTAGGGATTAAATCAAGAGTACTAAATTTGTTTTAGTTTGTGTGTAGGTTTTATTAGCTAGTTCATGTTGCCTTAAAGTTAAGATAGGTTTTCTATAAACTACTTTTTTTCTTAATTTCAGGTTGTCTTGTCAAAGTTTGTTAGGCAAATGGGTGACCTGTTGCCTCCAACTATTTATATTCCTTATCTAAAAATGCTCCAGGGATTGGCCAATGGGCCTCAGTGTGCTCACTACTGTTTTAGCCTGCTCAAAGTCAATGGTAGTAGTCACGGTAAGAACGTCTGGATGCTGTTGAATTTGTTTTTATACTACTGTGTTCAGCACACTGCTGCATAGTAAAGTGTATTGCTTATTTATTCTAGATTTGATAGGTATAAATTGCATTTATAACAGGGAGAGAGAACACAGTGGGGATTTTATGCATGGTCATGCTTTGATTATGATCTCTGAGATTGGGGAATTTTGCTATTTCCTTTTGTTAAATACAGTTAAGTGTAACAAGTTAGAAGTAATACATGTAGTTTTTCAAAAAAGAACACATCTGGCACACAAAACATAGTATATACCCTTGCTGTCTGTGATCTTGTCTGTCTGATCTGCTGTGCTCTGTTCCACACTGCTTGGTAAGTAATGGAATATTGTAATTTAAAGATCTAGACTGTTGTTATCGCTTTGTTTGGGAGTCAAGCTAAACACGAATTATTTGGTGGTGCAAAAGCAGCCGTTTGTTGTTACATGACAGCACAGAGAACTCTCTTGGTTAAGAAGCAGACAACTGACAAGCCAAGAAATGTACATGTTCTTAGACCCCACCCCATCCTTAGCTCTGAGGAAAAATAAATCCAGAGTTTTAGCTCCAGAGGGATTCTAACCCTCTTCACATACTTACCTAGGACAGACTGCTAAGACAAAAGCAAACAAATTTCATTTAAAATTATTCTAAGACTCCAAGCAACCAGAGCCTGCCTGCCCCCCCTTTCGCTTTCTTTCTCTTTCTCTCTTCCTCTCCCCTCCCTCCCTCCCTCCCTCCCTCTCTCTTTATTGGGGGAAGGGGAACACACTTGCAAAGAGGGTTCCTGTAAGAATCACAAACCACCATCCGCTTACAGTTGGGGTAGTTATAGGGCAGAAGGTGGGGTGTGGAGGCAAGTGGGGGGATTGAAAAGTTTCTCCTCTTTTTCGGTCCTTAAGACTAGTAAGTAGTTACTAAAAGAAAGTCTCTACTGACCAGCGTTACCAGATGTCTGAAGGGATGGGGTGTGGCAGGAATCTAGGCCTTCGTTCTGGAATGTGATTACTGTGGTTTTAGGGAAATTGTCACTACTTAACCAAAGTGGAAGAACTTTTCCTGACTTTGTTTCTATAGATAGGTGGAGAAGCGGGTGCAGTTGTTGTCTATGTAGCTCTTTCCTGTTGGATGAGGTCCACATCTTCATCAGGCATGTCTTGGCATTCTCTGGTATGGGCAATTTTGGAAGAGGAGGATGCTGTGAAGGAGAGGGTCCTTCCTCAGTGGCCACGCCTGCTACTGTCTGTCTAGCTACCTAATGTTCTCTCAAGAGTTGAGACCATAAAACCATTTAGGAGATGGATGTTGAATCATTGTTCCCACCTGACACTGGGCGAGGAGAAGGATTTAGGGTCTCTTGCTGACTTTTAGGCGCTGGAGAGTCATCCAGGGGACAGATTGAGTTAGATTGTCTGACGACCATCGGTTATAGACAAGAGTAGATACATGAAGGAAGCAGTTGAGTACACGAGGTCCAGAGATTAATAGCATCACTACTAAGGATATAATAGATTTAGCTCATTTTTGCTGTGAGGATCCAGAGATCCAATTTTAAAGCTGTTGAATGGATGCTGATGATTGGCATGTCCTTAGTCTGCTTATTGACCTTGTAAAGCAAAGGAGACAGTACACAAGTGGCAGTATGTTTATGTTTAAGAAAAGGATGAAAGTCCTTTACTTTGGTTATAACTGGGGTGGCTGTGATTACCCATTTGGCATGTCAGTAGCCCATGCAGAGGTCTGTAAAGCCTGGCTCATTAAATGTTTTACATTATTATCAGTTATCTTAATTTTGGTTGTACTTTCCTCCTGGGTGTTTAAGACCATACAGATGGCCAAAATTCATTACTTAAAAAAAATTACTTTTAAAGACAGTTGAGGATTTGGTTCTCAGGGGTCACTTGGGCTTGGGGAGTATCCTGTGGCTCCTTTAGCCTTCTTTTATTAGTTCTGTCTATGAGAGGATAAATCAAAGGCCTTACTTGACTGTGGCTTTACTTGGAGGCATGGGTGAATGTTTTCCTTTGTGTTGATCACAGGGTGGGGTCTCTATGACCTCCCAGAATTAAAGGACAGGTGACTCCCCAGGACTATAGTACCTTTTGAAAGATGCCCTCATAGTTCCTTGGGACCTAGATGATCTTGGAGGACAAAGGGCAAACTATTGTCCTTTCTTTTTTTATTATTTTTATTTTATGTGTATTAGTGTATTGCCTGCATGTGTGTGAGTGCATCCGTGTCATGCAATGCTGTGGAAGTCAGAAGAGGGCTTCAGATTCTCCTGAAACTGGAGTTAAGGATGGTTTGTAGCCGCCATGTGGGTGCTGGGAATTGAACCTGGGCCCTCTGCAAGAGCAGTCAGAGTGCTCTTAACTGCTGAGCCATCTCTCCAGCCCTATTGAGCCCTGTTGTCCTTCTTAATCCTTTTGTCTACATTGACATAGGCCTCCAAGTATGATTATTGAAAACTCAGAAGGTCAATTACACCAGCCTGGTATTTTTAGCTACTGTGTAATATTTTGATAAAGCTTAGGCAAAACTCAAATACTTTGAGATAAATCTTGATTAGCATATCTAAATCTCATCTTCTGCTTGCCTTATCTCACTTTCTCAAAACTTCCATAATATGCTTAGACTTTCCAGGTTTTGTTTTTTGTTTTCATTCTGGAAAAGCATCTAGCCATCTTAATCTTCAGACAAATCCTTCTTTACTAAAAGTATTCCATTCTTTCATCTTTCTAATATTTTCCTACTCTTTCCTTTGTTTCCTGTTAGCATGAGATATACTAACATTAACAATGTACTTAGCATCTCCTTAAGAGAGGTGACTCCAAACTACATATGTAGTATAATGTAATAAATTAATATTACTTATATACATACTATTAAACCATAGAACTTTGTAAGTTCCTAGGCAAATCCCATAGGAAAAACATGAGACAATGATCTTTTTGTGTTTTGCATGAGGAAGGAATGGTCTACCATAGCTGTGCTTTTGGTTTTGAATGAATGCAGTAGCAGATAGAGAGAAACAGATACATAGAAAAACCTCAAATTGCTATAACAACATCTAGCACAGATCAACTAAAGAAACCTTTTTGAAACTGTGGTGCTGGAGTTACTGAGGGTTTTTAGGCAGCGAGTCCCTTTCCCACTAAAGGCATTTTATATCGTGGAAATAGTTTACCTGTTAGTTATTTTCAGTGGCACAGTGCTTTTACTTTAGGCTGTTTTGTCTAGACTATTTGATATGGTAGTGGTGCTGCTGATTGAACCCAAGGTATGCTAGCCAAGTAATTTGCCATTTAGTGCTAAATAGTTTCTGAAAGAAAATTCTGTGCCACTTTTCTTTTTAGTTGAGAACATTCAGGGAGCAGGTGGCTGTCCTGTTTCCTGGGAGCATTTCTTTCACTCCTTACTGCTTTACCATGAGCATCTACGGAAGGATCTGCCAAGTGCAGACAGTGTCCAGTACCGTCACCTTCCTTCACGTGGCATCACCCAGAAGGAGCAAGATGGGCTGATTGCATTTCTGCAGCTCACATCTACTATCATTACTTGGGTAGGTAACCTTCCACAGGTGGTTTTATTTATATTGCGCACAGACGCATCTTAAAGGGCCAAACATTTTCTTTTAATGTTTCAAGTTTCAGAGTGATAACACACACATAGCATTTTGTTTTTAGGCTCTTTATTTTTTTAATTTTAAAAGGTATAAATTGTGCTTGTCTTGTTTACTGGCATAATCTTAACATGGACATTATGGTCTGGACATGAAGGAAAGTAGTCAGTAGGGAAAGTAAGAATTGTATGCACATCCTTCTAAAAGGTCATCTAGTAGAAGTTTGGATTTATGCATATGTTGGCTACATGTGTATACATAAAGAATAGTTTGGTTTTTAAAACTTTTTTCCTGTCTATTTGAGACAGGGTCTCCCTGTAGCCCCAGCTGGCCTGGAACTCACTATGTAGACCAAGCTGGCCTTGAAGTCACAGAGATCCACCTGCCCCTGCCTACTGAGTCCTGGGATTAAAGGTGTGCACCACCACACCCAGCTTAAATTTTATTTTTAATTATGTGTATATGTGTGTGTTTGTGTGTGGGTATGTGCATGTGTGTACAGGTGCTGGTGGAGTTCAGAAGATGGTGATGGATCCCCTGGAGCTGGAGTGACAGGTGGTTGTGAGCTGCCTGATGTGGGAGCTGGGTACCAAACTCTGGACCTTTGCCTGAGCAGTACCTGCTCCTAACCAGTGAGCCATCTCACCAGTCCCAAGATTGGTTTTAATTAAAAAGAAAAATTATAGCTTTTTCTCATCAGATCATTTCATCTGCTTCTGTTTTCAGTATATACTTTCTCAACTTGGACATTTCATTTAATGACCATTAGATAAAATGAAGCTGCTCAGGCTAATGTCCTCTCTGAAAGATAGAACTAAGTTTTTGATTATTCTAATCATGCTTGATGTTGCTAAGCATTAAAATGTCAAGTTCATTATTATGTCTCACTGATACAAAGCAAAGTAGTACTTGATAAAGTATATCTCCATTTTAGTCCATAGAAAAAGAAGAGGTATTCATTGACTCATGTATCGATTGTAGAATAGTGTAATGTGTTACATTATTCTAGAAATGGTTTAAAATGCCCAAGATTTATGTTACCCTGGTAGACTATTTATCTGTTTGTGGTGTTATTCTGCATGCCATGGTCTGCTAGAGAAATTCTTGGGAGCTGGTGAGATGGCTCAGCAGTTAAGAGCACATGGCAGCTAACAACTGTTCGGAATGCCAGTTCTAGGGGATCTGATGCCCTCTTCTGACCTCCTTGGGCATTGTACAACACGGGTGCACTTCCATATATGCAGGCAGTATACTCATACATGTAGAATAAAAATCATTAATTTTTTTTTTTTTTAAAGAAATTCTTGGAAATTTCCCCTCCATTCCTTACACCAGTCAAACTAGTGATCTGATGTGATCCATTGCTAGGCATTAAGCCTAAATGATGGGCTCCTACTTGTTTTAGTATGTATTTCACTTACAAGACTGGTACAGTTTAGGTGATTGCTGCTCATTTTCCTCAGCTGTGGGAAATGGAAAGCCAGACTTGGTTGTGTGTGCCTGTGATCCCACCTACTCAGGATGCTGAGGCAGGAGGATGGCTTGTTCTCATAGAGTTGGAGACTCATTCTTAAAAGACAAAACAACACAAACAAAAAACTCTAGATAAATATAAGGGCTTCTTTGTTCTTTTGTGTTCAATTCTCAGAGTGAAAATGCTCGCTTGGCACTTTGTGAGCACCCTCAGTGGACGCCTGTTGTGCTGATCTTGGGGCTCCTGCAGTGCAGTATTCCCCCAGTTCTCAAGGCTGAGCTACTGAAGACACTTGCAGCTTTTGGAAAGTCTCCTGAAATTGCTGCTTCCCTTTGGCAGTCATTGGAATACACTCAGGTAGTGCTATGAACTCCTTTATTTGTCTCATTTGGGAAGTGAGCTTGGTAAACAAGAACATCTGATTGGAACTTGGAGTATGCTACGGACTTCCCAAGTGGAGAATTACAACCTGGAGCCAAGCATAGCATTAGAAACTAATAGGCCTGGGTTATTTTCTTAACTCAGTTGACAGCTTCAGTGTTACCAAAGTCTAGTTAAACCAAGATCTGTAAGATATTACAAGGTGGGCGGATTTCCACAACTCTGTCTTTGAGACTAGGCTGATATAAGCCTTCAGAAGTCATCTGTACTCATAAAATGCAAGAAGTATCTGGGGTTTTTTTCTGAGCTGATCCTCTTTCTCTGCCTTCCTGCCTGGAGCTAGGAGAGTAGAGCACCTATATAGTGTCTTGTCATGGTGTCACCACTTAACAGTGGTCCAGCTGTTTGCTAAGTGTGCACCGAAGTTTCCACAGTGGTCAGAGGATGGTATACTGGTGGTCATGAGGACCATAAAACTGGGCGTAAGTGGAAATGTAATAGCACATCTACAGAAAGACACAGAAGGGGGAAATATTAAGGTTACATAGTGTTTGATGTCTCTGTTAGTTATTTTTTCATTCTCTGATAGTGTAAGCTCTTGTTTAATTTTTCCATCAAGTGTTGTTACTCTTTACGTGATAAAAGTGGAAAAGAATATGCTTCATTGAAATACCCTAGGAAAATGCTTAGGTAGATTATGCATTTGTCTCAGAAGGTAACACAATATGAGGGAGCCTGTGATTCTTTGTTTATTATTCACAAAAACAGCCATTTTAGAGTAACAAAGTATTCTGGATTTTCCCAAAATGTATATCCTGAGGATGAGAATGCCAACTTTCCTAAAACAGTTCCAAATGACTGTGCTACTTAGGCTTCACCCTTGGCTTGTAACATAGGACTTGCCCTGTCCTCATGCTCACTGCTCTGAAGTGTCATGGTTCAATATTTCTATCTTTCGAGCAGCACTATGTCTTTAAGGATTCTATGTAACAATACATGCTTAACTTGAGGGAGGGTGAGGTATCAGGAGTAAGTGTGATCTACTACATCATAAACTGCTGAGGGTCTGTAGATGCTCAGACAGAACATCTTAGCTCAGACCTACCTATTCTTAGGTTTATTCCTTGGTTTAAGTATGACTGGTTATGAACAGATGAGTGTGTTGACACTGGTGAGGTTTTATTCTGTAAGTCCTCTTCAAGATCAGCTTCCAGAATATCTGAGAGGAAATCTGCTGAGAGAAGCAAATTGTGCTCTTAGAAGTCACCATTTTCTGTACCTCACAAAATCAAGTTGTCTCTGCCAGAACTCCTGAAGAGTCTGTCAGAGACTCCTTGGTGGTCACTTCTGATAGACATAGTGAAGTGCGTGGAGTGATAGGTGAGGGATGTGACGATCACGTGGCCCTTGCTGCTCTTGATGGACCAGGAATGCTGAATGTAATCTTTATTTTCAGATACTGCAGACCGTCAGGGTTCCAAGCCAGAGGCAGGCTATTGGTATTGAGGTAAAATTTTCCTTTCAGTTTAAATACTGTATTCATTGACATGGTAATGGCATAAAAGATTATAAAAAATTATTTTTAGCCTGTTTCTGTAATTTTTTAAATTTAATGTATTTGATTTGGGAGGGGTTTCTTAATGGTGTTGAAATAGAGACGAAATCTTCTTATCATCATTTATTTATTTTGCGTATGTGAGTGCATATATGCCCAGGTTTTCATGTGCTGCGGCATGTGTGTGGTGGTCAGAGGACAGCCTGCATGAGTCTGTTCTCTCCATTTACCATGTGGGTTCTGGGGTTTGAACTCAGGTCATCAGACTTGGAGGCAAGTTTTACCGCTGAACAGTCTCACCAGTTTTGAGATGAAACTCTTAATGTAAGAAACCAAAATTTGTTTCAGAGTTGGAAAAGGATGTTACATGGCAGTCATCCAAACTGAAAGTCTTGATCTGAAACGTTTTAATTAAGTTTCTTGAGTAAACTTAGAGTGAGAATTTTATCTATCTTGTAGGGGCAGTAAGTGCCCATATGGTGCTCAGAGGACAACTTTTTGAGAATTGGTTCTTTCCTTCTGCCATGTGGGTTCTGGGGATCAAATTCAGGTGGTCAGGCAGCAGGCACGCCTAACCACTGAGCCATCTTGCTGGCTCCCTTTTGAAAAGAAATACCTATTTTTATTGCAAAATTGAGATGATATGTGAAAGTTTGAAAATCTCTGACTCATTTAGATTGGTGTACTTCTGTGTCTTTTCCTCTAAGTGAAAAATGCTTATTACTGTTACTATTGTTTTTGTGGTGATGTAGCATTTTTAATGAATTAACATCAGCAAATTCTTTGCCTTTCATAGCCTATAGTTTTATATTGCCAATTTTCTTTATTTCTTCGAAGGTTGAACTCAATGAAATAGAATCCCGGTGTGAAGAATACCCCTTGACTCGGGCCTTTTGCCAGTTGATTAGTACCCTGGTGGAGAGCTCATTTCCTTCCAATCTCGGTGCTGGTCTGCGCCCCCCTGGCTTTGACCCTTATTTGCAGTTCCTAAGAGATTCTGTGTTTCTCCGATTCCGTACAAGAGCTTACCGGAGAGCAGCTGAAAAGGTTATGTTCCAAGAAAATCCTGTGTTCTCCTTATTAATTACTATTTTTTCTCTTATCCTAAGTGTAAGGAGCTATAAATACAGTTTCCTTTTGTGTTTTTTTGGGGGGGGGTCTTTTTGAAGCAAGGTCTCCCTGTAGCCCCAGCTGTCCTGGAACTCGCTATGTAGACCAGGCTGGCCTTGAAGTCACAGAGATCTGCCTCTGCCTCCCAAGTGCTGGGACTACAGGCATGTACCACCACGCCCGGCTAAAGTTTACTTTTTGAAGTTACTGAAATTCATAGTCTTGATTCTGTAATCTCTGCTTGGAGTAATTCATGCATATTACAAATTAATTTGGTCATTAAAATAAAAATACTGACATTCTAATGGTCAGTAATTTAAGTGATAAGTGTTCACAATCATTCCTTGAGTTTTTTTTGGAGCCGAGGTCTCACTGTGTCTGATTGAACAGATTTTGACTAAAATTGAGTTACAATGTTCTATCCTTGTTGAAAGCACACTATTGTCTCTCATGGGGATGATTCAGATTGGGAATTACTCAAGTTTGAACTCAGATACCAGTTTTGTTTAGGCAGTGGGAAACCATGTTATGCAGTGGATGTGGCTACCATGGTGATGCGGAGGGAGCACTGATGTTTATACACATTTTGGCTCTACTTGTATGTATCACTAAGCTCATAATATATCATTTTATATAATTCCAGTGTTTCCTCGAGGAAGATACTATTAATATTCCCATTTTACAGATGGAGGCTTAGCAAAGTTGAGCTTGCCTAAGGTCCAGGATCAGGATTTGAACCTAGGACTCTGATTCCAGATCCAAGCTCATAACCACTAAGCTGTGTGAGACCCTTCCAGGTTCTGATGTAGTTCACTTTAGTCCATAATACTGTTTATTACCTCAGAATATTCTTGAGAGTATCTTTTAGGAGCATTTCTGCTTTATCATTGTAGCATTTTTTTTAGCTTGTTGGATATTTTGTTGTTAATGATTATAAAAAATCTTAGTTCATGCTAATTTTGGACAAATCGGAGCATACAGAAAAACATAAGAAATTATATTATCCCTGCCTAGCCAGCGTGTTGCCAAAAGGAAAATAACTACTTCTAGTCTTTTTTTTCCTGTGCATATGTATTTTGTATATTTAAACAACATTTGAGAGACTCTGTTCTAGTACTTTGTATTCTTTGTCCCACAGGATCATGAAAAAGTTTCAAGTAAGTATTAAGATTCCTTAAAAAAGACGTTTCTAGCCAGGCGTGGTGGCGCACGTCTGTAGTCCCAGCACTTGGGAGGCAGAGGCAGACAGATCTCTGAGTTCAAGGCCAGCCTGGTCTACATAGTGAGTTCCAGGACAGCTGGGGCCACAGGGAGACCCTGCTTCAAAAAGACGAAAAAAAAAAGACCTTTCTAAAGACTGCATAACACCCATTACTTCTGCCTACTGTAGTCCAGGTTACTGCTTTGTCAGTGGTTAGATTGTATTTCTAATAGTCACAAACCACTGATGTTCTATTTGCATTTTAATTTTTCTTTTTAGTATGGTAAACATCAAGGGGAATACATTTTATTTAATCTCTAGAACTACCTTGTTCACATAGATTTCATGATCTGATGAAATGATAATAGCAACGAATCCTCATTAAGAGTCATTTCAGATGAATAATGCATGTGTGATCATCGTGATCTTTTCAGTAGAAGGTTCTCACATCGTTGTACTTGTTTTAAATGTCTTACTTGCCTTTTCTCTAAAAGGTCACTGTGACCTCGTGTTGGCGTTCTAGTCAGCCACAATCTTAACGAGGTTAATATTTTTGCCTGTGTGTAGCATACCTCAAATGCTGCTGATTTCTCTGCTGCCACATTTGTCAGTTTTTAGACTGTATCTTACTTGAAAGTCTTTAACTTAACTTAGGTCGCTTTTTTAAAAGACAGTAGTTTCTCTTGAAAACAGTGCTTTGGATTAAGACAAATAATAGTGTTAGAGGTAGTATTATGTCTTTTTTATTTTAATTGTCTTGAAAATTTTGAAAACACAAAAAAGTAAATAACATTACAAAAAACCACCCTGTAGCACACTGAAGTCCCACTCCAAAACCCAGTCCTGATAAAATTGTGTAGTAGAAAAAGTGATCTTAAAATAATAATTTATAAAAACCGCACTGCTTATGTTAACAAAACCCAGTATTAACCAAAATTTTATGCAGTGGGTCTAGAGATGCAGTTAAGTGGTAGAGTGGCAAGGCCCTGGGTTCAATCTCTTAACACCACCAGTAAAATAAAATAAAAATGATTCTGTGCAGTGGATTTTTAAAGCAAAGTTTAAATACTGCTGTGTATTTAGCTCTATGTATTTGTCCTTTGACATCAAGTATTTTTCTGTATTGGTACATGGCTTTTAAATCCATCTTTAACAAGATGATATGGTCGTTTGGGGCAAGCTGACCAGTGATTGTTATCTTTTTACTTTTATTAACCCTAGGTGCAGGGGTTGAACTCTGGTCTGAGAATTAGATCTGGCCTTGACTCGAGCATGTTTGCTGCCATGCTGTATGGTCTCAGTGGACTCAGTCATTGCTCTGAGCTTTGCTTAGGACAAGGACGAGATGATTTAGAGAAAATGTGAAATTGATCCTTGGAGAAACTGATATTATGTAATTATACATTGAATATGACTAGGTACTAAATGCTTTAGACTTATAAATGAACTCAAACCTTGTCTATAAAAACAATTTCCTTTTTTCTTGTTGTTCTTTTTGTTTGATTTTTTTTTTTTTTTTTTTTTTTTTTTTTTAATAACAATTATACCACCTTAAAATAGTTATCATAATAATATTTCACTGTATTTGAACAGTTCTTCATGATAGCTCTTATCCTTAACGGTAATTATTTTTTGCTCCGTTATTATTTATTGATTG